CTTTAGATGGACTGAGTGGAAAGAGAAAGTTGTTCTACTGTTTCTATATATTTCATATATTTCTATATTTCTTGTATGATGCATTGTGGGTAAAGTAACTATTCTTCCATCAAGTGCAGGTCTGTTGTGAATGATATGTCAAATTTATTGAAACAGTCTACTGTAAAGTATGCATAAAACATGCTGAGATGAGTTTACATCCATTTCACAGACACAAACAATTGCCATAGCAACATCAGCCAACATTCAAGGCAGTTTGTCATTGCCAGGATTTTAGTAGAGCATATTTTTGTAGCAAGGCCTGTATGAGAAGATTGTTTGAACACATCCACTTTGGTATAAAATGACTTCCATTTTATGTGTCAGTTATTTATCTAGAGAGGAAATGTTTATATTTTATAAAAAATATATTTAAAAAAACAGCCTATAGAAAAACACGTTCTTATTGCAGTTAGATCCAAAATTACTTTGTGTGGCCTGACTAGTTGAAAGGGTGTGCCTACATATTGAGAGAGACAACAAAGTGTTAAGAAACAAAATGGTCAATCTCTACAGCCATTAAGCAGGAGAGCAGGTTTGTACAATAGTACCGGAGTTGGACAAACTCGTCACACAACCTGCTCCACAGCAGGCAGATTTGATTAATATTTTATTTGTAGTCAGCAATGAGAAAATCCTTTATTGCTAGGTGTGGATCCCAGTGGCTGTTTACCCATATTTACCACAGTAACCACACTGAACTCAAAATGGTTTCTTGTGTTGTATCCGTCGTTGCTGTGTGCTGAGTATTTTATTGTGCTCAGTGAGGCAGTAGGGTTTGAACATTAATTTTATTTCTAGCAATGGAAACATCCAAATTGATTTCTTCAATGTTACTTGGGTATCAAAATATTGGGGAGGGTGATATTCAATTTATCAAGCTCTCTCATCTATTTTTTTAAAGACACAGAAAACATCAATATTGATTTCTTCAATGTTACATGGGTATCAAAATATTGGGGAGGGTGTTATTCAATTTATTAAGCTCTCTCATCTATTTTTTCCAAGACACTGACAACACTGAAAACATCCATATTGATTTCTTCAATATACTTGGGCCTCCAAATATTTGGGTTCACCATGTTCTGTTTCTTAAGCATTGATCTAATTCACACTTACAACATCAGGGCTCAAGATAAGGGCCGTATCGGCGTATGTACGGATAGAAAATATGCACGATACGATGGGAAATAATTTAGAAACGTAGCAGATACGCACCACAGCAGTGGTGTACAGTCTTTAAATCATTTACAGACGTATTTATCTGAAAAAAGTATTGTTTATTGTTTATTGACCTGTTTACATAAGAGTAGCAATGTTGTGGTGCATATATGAAACGAAACACAAGATTACTGATATGCCATTAAATTCCATTCAGTACTCTAAATGTACTCTTAAGTTTTTCCAGTACTCCTATATTGAAAACATAAGGAGTACGTACTCCTGATGTTGAAAAATTATCTGGAGCCCTGCAACATTTGTTTCAAACCATAGCTTGTATGTCCATTTATAAAGAATGATTCTTAAATTGGATTGAAAGTTTTAGTTGCTTAAATCTGGTTGAGAACAGAGTTGGAATGACACTTGGAACCAATGTACATGTATATACCCTAGGTGTCTAGAATGGAGTTGGAATGACACCTGGAATCAATGTACAATATACCCTAGGTGTCTAGAATGGAACCGATGTACAATATACCCTAGGTGTCTAGAATGGAACCGATGTACAATACCAGTGTACAATATACCCTAGGTGTCTAGAATGGAACCAATGTACAATATACCCTAGGTGTCTAGAATGGAACCAGTGTACAATATACCCTAGGTGTCTAGAATGGAACCGATGTACAATATACCCTAGGTGTCTAGAATGGAACCAGTGTACAATATACCCTAGGTGTCTAGAATGGAACCAATGTACAATATACCCTAGGTGTCTAGAATGGAACCAGTGTACAATATACCCTAGGTGTCTAGAATGGAACCAATGTACAATATACCTAGGTGTCTAGAATGGAACCAGTGTACAATATACCCTAGGTGTCTAGAATGGAACCAGTGTACAATATACCCTAGGTGTCTAGAATGGAACCATGTACAATATACCCTAGGTGTCTAGAATGGAACCAATGTACAATATACCCTAGGTGTCTAGAATGGAACCAGTGTACAATATACCCTAGGTGTCTAGAATGGAACCAGTGTACAATATACCCTAGGTGTCTAGAATGGAACCAGTGTACAATATACCCTAGGTGTCTATGAATGGAACCAATGTGTACAATATACCCTAGGTGTCTAGAATGGAACCAGTGTACAATATACCCTAGGTGTCTAGAATGGAACCAGTGTACAATATACCCTAGGTGTCTAGAATGGAACCAGTGTACAATATACCCTAGGTGTCTAGAATGGAACCAATGTACAATATACCCTAGGTGTCTATATACCCTAGGTGTCTAGAATGGAACCAGTGTACAATATACCCTAGGTGTCTAGAATGGAACCAGTGTACAATATACCCTAGGTGTCTAGAATGGAACCAGTGTACAATATACCCTAGGTGTCTAGGTGTCTAGATGGAACCAGTGTACAATATACCCTAGGTGTCTAGAATAACCAGTACAATATACCCTAGGTGTGGAACCAGAATGGAACCAGTGTACAATATACCCTAGGTGTCTAGAATGGAACCAGTGTACAATATACCCTAGGTGTCTAGAATGGAACCGATGTACAATATACCCTAGGTGTCTAGAATGGAACCAGTGTACAATATACCCTAGGTGTCTAGAATGGAACCAGTGTACAATATACAAGGTATACCCTAGGTGTCTAGAATGGAACCAATGTACAATATACCCTAGGTGTCTAGGAATGGAACCCAGTGTACAATATACCCTAGGTGTCTAGAGATGGAACCAGTGTACAATATACCCTAGGTGTCTAGAATGGAACCAGTGTACAATATACCCTAGGTGTCTAGAATGGAACCATGTATATACCTAGGTGTCTAGAATGGAACCAGTGTACAATATACCCTAGGTGTCTAGAATGGAACCAGTGTACAATATACCCTAGGTGTCTAGAATGGAACCAGTGTACAATATACCCTAGGTGTCTAGAATGGAACCAGTGTACAATATACCCTAGGTGTCTAGAATGGAACCAGTGTACAATATACCCTAGGTGTCTAGAATGGAACCAGTGTACAATATACCCTAGGTGTCTAATGGAACCAGTGTACAATATACCCTAGGTGTCTAGAATGGAACCAACAATATACCCTAGGTGTCTAGAATGGAACCAGTGTACAATATACCCTAGGTGTCTAGAATGGAACCAAACAATATACCCTAGGTGTAGAATGGAACCAATGTACAATATACCCTAGGTGTCTAGAATGGAACCAGTGTACAATATACCCTAGGTGTCTAGAATGGAACCACAGTGTACAATATACCCTAGGTGTCTAGAATGGAACCAGTGTACAATATACCCTAGGTGTAGGTGTCCCTAGAAATGGAACCAATGTACAATATACCCTAGGTGTCTAGAATGGAACCAATGTACAATATACCCTAGGTGTCTAGAATGGAACCAGTGTACAATATACCCTAGGTGTCTAGAATGGAACCAGTGTACAATATACCAATATACTAGGTGTCTAGAATGGAACCAGTGTACAATATACCCTAGGGTGTCTAGAATAGGTGTCTAGAATGGAACCAGTGTACAATATACCCTAGGTGTCTAGAATGGGAACCCCTAGGTGTCTAGAATGGAACCAGTGTACAATATACCCTAGGTGTACAATGGAACCAGTGTACACCCTAGGTGTCTAGAATGGAACCAGTGTACAATATACCCTAGGTGTCTAGAATGGAACCAGTGTACAATATACCCTAGGTGTCTAGAATGGAACCGATGTACAATATACCCTAGGTGTCTAGAATGGAACCAATGTACAATATACCCTAGGTGTCTAGAATGGAACCAGTGTACAATATACCCTAGGTGTCTAGAATGGAACCAGTGTACAATATACCCTAGGTGTCTAGAATGGAACCGATGTACAATATACCCTAGGTGTCTAGAATGGAACCAGTGTACAATATACCCTAGGTGTCTAGAATGGAACCATGTACAATATACCCTAGGTGTCTAGAATGGAACCAATGTACAATATACCCTAGGTGTCTAGAATGGAACCAGTGTACAATATACCCTAGGTGTCTAGAATGGAACCAGTGTACAATATACCCTAGGTGTCTAGAATGGAACCGATGTACAATATACCCTAGGTGTCTAGAATGGAACCAATGTACATGTATATACCCTAGGTGTCTAGAATGGAGTTGGAATGACTGGAGATTCAAATCAACCCTAACCCAGATCTTCACGGGTTCATGAAAACTGCTGAAGAAAATGGCCCCAAAAATCCTTGACACTTAGAAGTAAATGTTTTGACCATAACAAGTTTTCCTTTCATTTCATTTCATTCACCAACCTAGCACTGTTTGTATCTAAAGCCACCAGCAAATACTGTGGGTGCAAATACTACCCATTACTACCCATTAAAATATTCCCCAAAAAAACTTTCACCCAATTTGAATTGGCTGAAATGGGAAACACATGCGATGTGTTTCAGCCTGAGAACGAACCAGACAGTTGGCCTTCAATATCTTACTAGCCCTCTGACATAATGTAGCCAGCCAGTTGACCTGGGGGAGCAGGCAAGTGGCCTTCAATATCTGACTAGCCCTCTGACATAATGTAGCCAGCCAGGAGATAGCAGAATAGCAGTAATCTCACTGTCTTAAAAAAGTTAAGGATCATGATAAATTTTTGTGGATATTTTTATAAAATTATGTGCTCTGTCTCCGCTTAAAAATATCCTTAAAAATATTCATGATCCAAATTTTTTATGGTCAGTATATGTTGTTTTTTTGTGACGTCAGATTCTCGGCTTTGATATCCTGCTGCTGAAGAGCCTGAAGCCGATCCTGCTGGAGGTGAACGCCAACCCCAGCCTCAGCATCTTCGGGGAGCAGGAGGTGCTGCCCGGGGGTGTTCGAGTGTGTCGAGAGTCTCAAGGATGAAGAGGTCAAAGTTCCTCTTGTCAAGGACTCTCTACTCCTCATTGCGCCAAAAAATAAATTCACACGTAAAAAGTAAGTTGCAAATTTTGGTTGTCCACTCAGTGATTATTGGACATTATCGTTTGCTATTTTTATCATTATCAACATCATCTACTTATCATTTTCTCTGACAATTTCTTGCTCATTGTCTTTTTCATTATCTAGAAAAGTATCTAAATCATTATCTACATCATAACTTTGTTCATTGTGTTAGTACATAAAAACTATATTTCATAGCCATAGAGTATGTATGATATTATCAATGACCCAATTTCATGTTGACAATTATCACTAATTCTTTGCGATTGACGATACATCAGATAATCAATTTTTTTAAAACGTTATCCTCATTGTTAACTTTGTAATTATCTTCATCATTGTTTGAGTAATTCTTATGGACATAATCTTAATGACAGTCTTCATCATTGTCTGAATCAATTTTTTATCATTATTGAGTTCATTATCCTCATTGTTAACTTTGTAATTATCTTGTTGGGGTAATTATTGTGGACATAATCTTGATGACATCTTCATCATCAGCTGCAGACAACATCGCCGACACAGAAACCTCAACAACGCCAACAACCAGCAGAGACAGGGAGAGACGGCCATCATCATCAAGATGGAGGAGATGACCGTTGTCAAGGAGACTGCCATCAGGATCATGGACCCCAGCATGGAGGTTGACAATGACGACAAGAAGGAGGACAGCCACGACAAAAGTGCAGAAGACAGTGATGGGAGAACTGACTCTGATGATCGAGCCACAGACTCCGATAACAAAATGGAGGAGGGAGACAGTGGGCGGGACGATGATGACTCTGGAGGGGGAGAAGATGAAGAAGAAGAAGAGGAGGAGGAGGAAGAGAAGAAGGACGAGGAAGACACAGAGTCTTGTTTGAAGCGGATATTTCCTGATGTCTATGGATCCCAGTTTGACTACCTGCGGCTGATGGAGAGACTCTCTACACTGTTCACAAAGTCACTAGGGGTGCGAGGAGCTCATCGGATTGGTCCAACAGCTTTCAGAATGTTTGCAAGGTAAATTCTATATTATCCTTCAGTGTGACTTGTCTCTCACAGATCATATTCTGATTAACAGGTGAAACTTTTAAACAAAGGTTAGATATGGCACTGAGTAAATATCCTTGAAGTTGAGTTTGGACTTCCTATCGTAGTAAATGAGTTTTTGAGATGTATCAGATGTGGACAAAAATATTGAACAAATTCATATTATTAAAAGATTTTGATTCTCCATTCTCTTATTTCTGAGGTATGAAATATGTATTTATCTTTTTTATTTTGGTTCAGTTAAAGTTTGAATAATTAAATCATTTACCCTTTGATTATTAACCATTTCAGAAAATGTCGTCTGAATCGCAGAGGAGTAACCAATGCATCGGTAGATATCCTATACATAGATTATCAAAGGAAATGGGAGTTCATGAACCCCGATCGTACATCAGGTAAGTCAAATGTCAAGGTCACTTAATTATCGAATGTTAAGTACATTTACACACCTGAATCTGCATATCATTTTTTCCTCGGTCACAAATTTCAAAACACAACAAAAAATTCTGCCTGTCATAAACGATTCCACCAGATTGGTTTGATCAACATTCAGATCCTTTTGACCACATTTTACTGAACAGAAACAGCTGCATCCTTTATCACAGTGAGTGAGTGAGTGAGTTTAGTTTTATGCTGCTTTTAGCAATATCCCAGCAGTATCTACACCAGAAATGGGCTTCGCATATTGTGCCCATGTGGGGAATCGAACCCAGGTCTTCAGTATGACGAGCGAGCGCCTTAACCACTAGGCTACCACACCGCCCTCTTTAAAACAGAAGTATAGGACGTCCTTCCATTATGATCCAGTGACATAAGAGGGCCACATCAATTCCAAAAACTACTCCATATTCGTCTCAATCATAGATAACTCATTTTTGGTTTCCCCATGCCGTGATATTGCTGGAATATTGCTGAAGGTGGCGATACTCTACTCACTCACTCACTCGATCACAGTTAAGCAGTGTTGATAGCATGCCTAACAAGCTATAACTGCAAATGTGAAAAGATTTACTGCATACGTTGAATATGATCTGTTTGACTGGCATTTAGAAGTTGGTGACTAATAAGAAAGATTGTTTATGGATAACAACTTCTTTTATTATATATGATGCACCGTTTCGGTATGGATTCTTATACCGTTGTCAAGCAAGAGTGAAGTACTACAGCACAGAACAGACTTATATACATGAACAGGGATTAAGTAATAACAACATGTGGGTAGGAATCAAGGGGATTAACAACAACAACAAGGCACGGTGGTAATAATGTAGTGACAATAGGAGGAAGCCAATGGTCCTAGAGGCAGAAACAAAATATACATGGCTGATGAGATCAATTAACAATGATAGCTGGAGTGCTCTAATCTGTTGTTTCTATCAGTTCATTGTATGCAGAAGGGATGAGATATCCCTGGTCTCTGTTGATTGAGGGCTTGTGTCTCCGGATTTGAACTGCTTCTGCAAGTTTTCTATGTTGAATATGTCTTTGTCAGCTTGCATTTCATTTCAGGTTTGGGATTCCAGGGATTCGTTGATGCATGTTTCGAGATTTCCCGACGCAAGTTCTTCAAGACAAACCGTCGTGACATGTTGGAATGCTTCATCAGTTACTGTGAGGAGGGACTGAATGAACATAAACAGGAAGAGGAGGCACTCCGACGCAGGTTCTCACGGCCTCCACGACGCCTCCTCCGACGTCCTGTTCATTTGTTTCAGAGATCCACAGTTACCTCCCTTGAAGAAGAGCCCATCCACAGTGTCTATGAACAGCCGCTCGTAAGGAGGAGTGTGACTTTTGCAAAATCCTCCGACTTCAGCTTGTTGATGAGCCAGAAAAGGAAGCAGACGTACAAGCCCAAGCCGCTGAGTCTGTACTCTTCTGATGACGACTGACTAGGCAAAGTGTGGCAGTAATTTAAAGGAAAATCTTCAAGCACTGCTAGAAAGATGCCAATGTCTGAGGACATGTTTTTCACTTATTTACATATAAACTTCCTCCAAACCATATGCTGTCAAAATATTATTGAACAAAACACTTTGTTAAAATTGATAACAGCACTTTTTTAAAGCATGGTCAGTAAGCTTAACCTTTACTTAAGTCAAAGAGTTATGCCCCCTTTCTTATCACAGAAATGGGATCCTATGTAACCCCAGTGGGATTAAGCTTTAGATGAAGAGAGACAGAAGGCATGTTGGAATCCTGAATCATTAAAACTTCCCTGCCTTACCATGGTAGATAGTTCCTTCATCCAAGGACCAGACGTCCAGCTCTTCCAAGAGTAATATCACCAGCCTGATCTGTATCAATATTCAGATAAGGTCCTGGAGCAAACAGCCAACCTACACCGATTATATTGCAATTAATGTATATATTGTTAGTATCCATGACAAGTCTCCACTTTCTTGGTACCAGACAACTGGAAAACTGAACAAGGTGTTCCTAGCTTGCAAAATAACCTGGAAGGTCTTGGAGATTTTGAGAACAAGGCCAAAGTAGACCTAGAAGTCATTGGTATATGCAAATATTGTCTGTTAAATGTTTTAGGGTGCTGAAGTAATGATTCATTGAATCATGTTGAAATTGTGACTGTTGTCAATCAAGAGTGAAAGTACTACAGCACAGAACAGACTTATATACATCAACAGGGATTAAGTAATAATAATAATAAGTGTTCTTGTATAGGCACTTAATAAAATCAAACTGCAAGGCAATTTCTCTAGAGGCTAAAAGATAGAGTGATCTGAAGAAAGGATTAAAGTTCATAAGCTTGTTTAAAAGGAAAGTTTTCAGTTGGGACTGGAAAGATTCCACGGACGTGCTTGTCGGATGTGAAGAGGCAGTGAGTTCCAGAAAAGGGGAGCTGTGTAAAGAACTGTCTATGTCCATATGACTTTAATCTGACCTTTGGGGACATTCAACTGACAATTAGAACTTGATCTTAAAAGCCGTGGTGGGACATATTCACTGAGGAGATCTTTCAGATAGATTGGAGCTTTGTCATGGAGGCACTTGAAAGCGAGAGTGAGGATTTTATATTCTATTCTCTGTTTACCAGTGGGCAGCCAATGTAAGCGTATCAGCAATAACAACATGTGGGTATGAATCAAGGGGATTAACAACAACAAGAAGGCACGGTGGTAATAATGTAGTGACAATAGGAGGAAGCCAATGGTCCTAGAGGCAGAAACAAAATATACATGGCTGATGAGATTAATTAACAATGATAGCTGGAGTGCTCTAAATCTGTTGTTTCTATCAGTTCATTGTATGCAGAAGGGATGAGATATCCCTGGTCTCTGTTGATTGAGGGCTTATGCGTCTCCGGATTTGAACTGCTTCTGCAAGTTTTCTATGTTGAATATGTCTTTGTCAGCTTGCATTTCATTTCAGGTTTGGGATTCCAAGGATTCGTTGATGCATGTTTCGAGATTTCCTCGACGCTAAAGTTCTTCAAGACAAACCGTCGTCGTGACATGTTGGAATGCTTCATCAGTTACTGTGAGGAGGGACTGAATGAACATAAACAGGAAGAGGAGGCACTCCGACGCAGGTTCTCACGCCTCCACGACGCCTCCTCCGACGTCCTGTTCATTTGTTTCAGAGATCCACAGTTACCTCCCTTGAAGAAGAGCCCATCCACAGTGTCTATGAACAGCCACCAGAAGGAGGAGTGTGACTTTGCAAAATCCTCCGACTTCAGCTTGTTGATGAGCCAGAAAAGGAAGCAGACGTACAAGCCCAAGCCGCTGAGTCTGTACTCTTCTGATGACGACTGACTAGGCAAAGTGTGGCAGTAATTTAAAGGAAATCTTCAAGCACTGCTAGAAAGATGCCACTGTCTGAGGACATGTTTTTCACTTATTTACATATAAACTTCCTCCAAACCATATGCTGTCAAAATATTATTGAACAAAACACTTTGTTAAAATTGATAACAGCACTTTTTTAAAGCATGGTCAGTAAGCTTAACCTTTACTTAAGTCAAAGAGTTATGCCCCCTTTCTTATCACAGAAATGGGATCGTATGTAACCCCAGTGTGATTAAGCTTTAGATGAAGAGAGACAGAAGGCATGTTGGAATCCTGAATCATTAAAACTTCCCTGCCTTACCATGGTAGATAGTTCCTTCATCCAAGGACCAGACGTCCAGCTCTTCCAAGAGTAATATCACCAGCCTGATCTGTATCAATATTCAGATAAGGTCCTGGAGCAAACAGCCAACCTACACCGATTATATTGCAATTAATGTATATATTGTTAGTATCCATGACAAGTCTCCACTTTCTTGGTACCAGACAACTGGAAAACTGAACAAGGTGTTCCTAGCTTGCAAAATAACCTGGAAGGTCTTGGAGATTTTGAGAACAAGGCCAAAGTAGACCTAGAAGTCATTGGTATATGCAAATATTGTCTGTTAAATGTTTTAGGGTGCTGAAGTAATGATTCATTGAATCATGTTGAAATTGTGTTTAAAATGGGAATTTATGTTTTATGAAATGAATCTTCCCCCAGTCACCCCTTTATTCACGTGAAAGTTCACCAAAGTAAGGGGCTTCTGACCAATGGCCGAGCAGGATGATACAGTCAGTACTGCAGCAGGACTTTGATATGGATAATGTGGCAGTAGGTGTTCTGCATGTGCCCAATACATTGTCTTTATGGACAAAATGATATGTTCCAATACTGTCAAAAATCTTCCAAGCATAGTATCATGTTTCTCAAAACATCAGAGTGCCGTCATTATTACCAATTCTATTGTCTTTTTGGACAATGAAGTACGCTGAAACTAAATACCAGTACTGTCAAATATCTTCTGATTCTTCTATTTGAAGTCCTTCCAAAAAGCATCCTTATGGTAACCATGGTAACCAGGCTTTCCCAGAAAGGATGAACATCTTTACCACTAAACTTGTTTAACTATGTTGATATTTATTATGTCTGTTGTAACCGTGAGGGTCAGTGTACTGTATATATTGATTTATACACTCTTTACAAGGGTAAAACGACACAGAACAATAACGGTTTAGCCAGCAATAAAATGTCGTGGCTTGTCCCAGACTATAAGACTGAGACTATCTTCTTATTGCCCTTCAACACGTGGTCTGGATCTTGAAAGGTATAGATCCACAGATTGGGGATTAAATAAATGGGGAGGGGGCAGACAGGTATATCAGTATATCAAAGATATAGTTTTTTTAAAGTCTGGGTTGGGTAGGTGGATTTGTGGGGAAGGGTTATTGGGGTCTGATTGTTATTTATAAAAAGTTATTGTCAAGTTAAGTTTTCTCCTGAACAGAATTATCTTTTCCTCAAAGATATGAGCCAGTTAAAAGAATAAAGGGTGACAGACATAATTTAGTAATAAATTTAGTCAGTGTAATATATTAAAATCATTTATAAAATTCAGCTCTCAAGCAGTATACAGATAAAAATCTAATCTTGTTATAGGCCCATAATATTGTTATGACCTGTTGAGACTTGTAGCTGAAGGTGCTTTCCTAAACATTTATTCGTTTTAATACTCCACGTTTCACATATATAGTTTACAATTTCACCAACCTATATCTATCATAAGGTATTACTTCAAAATGTTTTTTGGTTGTATTGTAGTGTGTAAAGCCAATGGTTAGCTTCAACTAGAAAAGTTAAGTATTGTATGGATAACTGAGGTTGCAGTCCCTGCCAAACTGACAGAGATGAGTCCCCCTTTAACAGTGTACATAGCTCACCTACACGTGCACAGTAATCTGTTGAATCGTATCACCAGTATTTTGATATATTTTACATCAGAGTGAGTGCTATGCTCAATACTGTTCTACCCTTGCTCAACTGTTTCACCAGCTGTGATATTGTCAAGCTTACGTGTGATATATGTCGGTGATCTCGTATCAAGCCATTTTTGGATGTGTTGATATTGTCAAGCCTATGTGTGTTGAGTGTCTGTGGTAGTTCTCGGTATCATGTATTTCCATCCAGATGTATCCTCACAGTCAGAAATAACATACACCCTACTCTCCAATATAGAAACTACCCTGTGAGGAGCTTGACAAGGATGCTATGCACAGTTATTTCCCCTTATTGTAACCATGACAACTTTGAATTGTTAATTTCAGGAAGTATATGGACAAATTTGAGTTGCTAAGACTTAAAACTATCTATAAGGAAGTGTCAGTTGTGGTCTAATTATTACTTAAGAAAACATCAATGTTTCAAGTGTTTGATATTTTACAAATACTTAGAAATATGTAGTTTTAGTTGTGTATGTGAATTGCGTCATCATAACACTACCCTTTTAGTTGCTCAAATCATTCAAGTGCCAAACAAAGATTGTTGACGTAGATTGTAAATAATAACTAGCATTCTTAAATTGCGGCAAGTGAAGATTGTATCAAAGGCGACCTTGACTGTAGAGGTTGATCGCAATTATGAGGTCTCAAGGACATATGAGAAGGCATTTGTATTAGTCCTATATTTTGTTTAAATTATTTTAAAAACTATTGATTGTGTGTTTTGCATGTTGAAGCAACATGTTTAAGAAATAACGTTGACATGTTAATTTTCTGGGAATTGAAAAGTTTTCTCATGAGACTTAAAGCATATATTGATTAGGTGGATCAATGTATGAATGAGTAATGAGTGTGTTTTGTGGTGATATTGAACTTGGTATGAATGGCAATGAAAAGGCCTTAATGCATTAGAAAATTCAGCATTCATGGCCCAATGTATTTTTTAATACTGGTTAGTGATAAGCTTTATTGAGAATATTTACAGCCTTTCACAGCATATCAGCTTACACCAGAAGATTAATCTTGCAGATATAAATACATTCTTTGTTGATGTGTGCACATATTTGCATGTGTTAACATTTCAAACATTCCATGGTAAGAATATTTTGTCATTATCTGAGGTGTAATATTTTAATTAGTGGATTTTCTTCCCCATCCACATCACTACCACACCACCCATATTTGCATATGCAAGAACTTGATGAAGAATATGTCTGTGATTGTTACCTTCTTTCTGTAGTTGATTAAACACACAATATATAGTTCCAGCAAACATGCAGGTACCACCCATATTTGCCTATCCAATCCAACATTCCATAGTAAGAATATTATATTATATTAGGTCATGATCAGTAAAGTATATGATTTTTCCCCTGCCCATGTCACAACCAACCACTGCTATGAATGATATTTTCATATGACTTTCATATATCTTACATCGCATATTCCCAAGTCATTGATAAGTTATTTCAGGCATAAGCATATTTCAAATTTCATTGAGATAAATGATTAATTGTAATACAGAAAGATAACACCTAGTGGCTGACCATTTAATATCTCAGGGGTTAGGCGAGTTTCTTTTTTCGTTGGAAAATAATCTTTTACAAAATGTTATGGAAAATATTATATTGTCCAGTTTGAACGGACAAAAAGAAATCAATTGTTCACTGAACATTCTCATATGTACTTATGGAATATTAAATGGTCAATTTTTACACAGGTACAAAATGGGTAGCCAATAAAACAGGTTCCAAGGTAAGTTTCTTTTGAGTTATCTCCCCTTCCAACTTGAGGTCGTGTGCTCTGCGTTGTTCTGTTTCATCATCTGTATGGGGACTATTGGAAACTATATGGTGTAGGCATGCAGAGCCAGTTTACATTAAACCACATTTTGACTGTGATAAGTGATATGTGTTTGACTATGTATGATTTAAATGTCTTGTTTTGTTGTTATTTGTTCACAGTTGTTACAGCTGTTGTTAGAGGTGGTGTTTTTATATAACTTGCATCCTAGCCATTTGCCCCTTCATTTCAGGAGGCCCCAACAGACACCCATACATTACATGAGGCCTCAACAGACACCCATACATCACAGTGGCCTCAACAGACATCCATACATCATAGTGGCCCTCCATACATTTCAGAGGACCTGGACACCCATACATCATAGTGGCAGACACCCATACATCATAGTGGCCTCAACAGACACCCACACATCATAGTGGCCCCAACAGACACCCATACATTACAAGAGGACCTCACAGACACCCATACATCATAGTGGCCTCAACAGACACCCATACATCATAGTGGCCTCAACAGACACCCATACATCATACCCATACATGGGCCCCAACAGACACCCAGTGGCCTCAACAGACACCCATATAGTGGCCAGACACCCATACATCATAGACATAGTGGCCTCAACAGACACCCATACATCATAGTGGCCTCAACAGACACCCATACATCATAGTGGCCTCAACAGACATCCATACATTGCAGGAATCCCATAGAGACACCATACATTGTTGGAGGCCCCAATAGATATCCATACATTATGGATGGCCCTTACAGATACCCATACCATAAAGATAACCCTCACTGAGATCCAAGTATTAGAGACCGTTACTGCCAAGGCTAACTGATGCTCTGATAGCCCATTCTGTGTGTTCTGTGTTCCCTTTTCAAGTGAAAGAGTGTGTGTCGGGTTTCAAGTAATAGAGAAGGGTTGTCCTGACAGATATGGTTCACACTCTGTGAATCAATGTACGTAAACTCCCTACAGTTACATGATCAACAAATAATTATGATCATTTCGAAATACTTTCACTGAAGAAATCAACTTATCTAAACACAGTGATTAAGGATTAGGTGTATTATTGCCTTTAATTACAATATCAAATGATCACAGCTCAGACAGATCTCTACAAGATATAATATGCCCACATTGGAAAAAAAAAAATTCACCTACATTATATGTCCAGTACTTAGTTTTGGAATGTTTTAGGTGTAAAAAGTGCCTGAAAATCACCAGTCCCAGGTTAAGGTGGTGTTTATGTTGAGAACTAGGTTTTGCTTCGAGTTACCATCCTTCAGTTCTCTGTCAAGTGTTTACCCAGGTCAATGCGTGGCATGCGTAAGTGCCTCCAACACTAACTGTGATAAATCATTGGACAATCCAACTTTTACATTCTGTAAACAGTGCTCAAGTCCGATCATACCACTTTGCTCTCCACCACCAGAGACCTTATTGTGAACTGATGTCCAATCTAATCTTTTGTCTCAAAGTTTAAAGTTACATTGACAATTTAACTGCAACTTCTATTCTTTCTGCTGCTGGACAAACTTTATTCCCACCAAAAAGCATTTTTTCCACATGCAAAAAATAAACTAAAAGGTTAAAGATGCATAATAATGCAGCTATACATTTTGTCAGTAATTTTCATATCTTACAATTTTAGTTCTGTATTTTTTTCTTCCCACCTTCAGGCTTTCTGCAGTTGAGTTACCTTGGTCAACACACAACACACATACGGGGGTCAAATGGCTGGGACACAACAGAGAAGAGTGATGTTTATTTCCCCAGTATCTTCAGTCAGTATTACACACCTGCTTCCATCAGATAGAGCTTGTTATTACATGAGTTATACAAGTTAGAGGCTTGTTATTACATGGGTTATACAAGTTAGAGGCTTGTTATTACATGAGGTTATACAAGTTAGAGGCTTGTTATTACATGGGTTATACAAGTTAGAGGCTTGTTATTACATGGGTTATACAAGTTAGAGGCTTGTTATTACATGGGTTATACAAGTTAGAGGCTTGTTATTACATGGGTTATACAAGTTAGAGGCTTGTTATTACATGGGTTATACAAGTTAGAGGCCTGTTATTACATGGGTTATACAAGTTAGAGGCTTGTTACCTCATGGTGATAACAGATCCTGTTTATCACATTGGTTATACAAGATAGAGGCTTGTTATCACATGGTTAAACATCATTATCATGGTGCAATATTTGCGAATAAAGGCTTGCTGATACCTACCCTAGTTTGTGTTTAGTTTATACATGAGTGAGTGAGTGAGTTAGGTTTAACACTACTTTGACCAGTATATCAGTTGTATGATGCCAGACTGGTGTGGGATGAGAGCCCAGGGATGCAAGACTTTATAACATCTACCACTTTGGTTAAACCAACAAGGATTGTTTGGTCCTGACAAACCAATATTCAGGGAGAATTTGGTATTCCCACCCATCAACATAGATTCCTGACAAACTTAAGGGACATTGGTTAAGTGTTGGAGGAGAACCCTAAGTGATCCAGGCCACAGGTGTTTGTGAAGCAGAACCCTGAGTTTGAAGACACATGTATAGGTTCAACAGTTGTTAGCAAACTGCTCTACCTTTGATCATGATTGTTGTCTCAAGAGATATCCTTGTAATTCAGGATTGTTAAGCATTTAAAAGTTGAGAAAATTCTTTACCAGTCAGAGGCATTTATTTTAGTGCTCAGTCTTATCTTAGTGATGAAGGAAAACTGATTTCTATGGATAGTCAATCTTTGATTGCAATAAAGAAGTTGACTATCCATAGAAATCAGTTTTCCTTCAAGCATTTAAAAGTTGAGAAAATCAGTGTTACCAGTCAGTCTTATCTTAGTGACGGTAGTGTGCTCAGAAATTGTGTGGGACTAACAGTTTCCAATATACAAATCATGGTTCATGTAACTGTGTAGACGCATGCTTTCTCTCCAGAAATTCTCCAGTAGAATGGGTTTCTGGATTAACATGGTTTCAATGTGTACATCAGCAAGATGAAATGGCTGACAAGAAAACACAGTGGTTGGTAAGGGACCGTTCATAATTTATGGCTTGGGGGTGATGATGATTTTGAAGGGGAGTCACCCATTTTGTTGTGGGGAGATAGGGGGGTCGGCAATTTTGTACATGTACTAGGGGGGGTCAGCAATTTTGTACATAAAAATATTAAAAAATGCTTGAAAATTACGGGTAGGGGAGGAGGGGGTGTCATTGATTTTGTACATAATATGCAAGGGGGGGCACTTACTTTGTACGTAAATTTTAGGGGGGTCATTCACATTGTACATGCTTCTGCATAAAAATCATCATCTACAACCCCCCCCCACCCCTTGCCATAAATTATGACCGGTCCCTAATCGGGGTAGTGAACTACAGCGGGGGGATCCAACACTTCACAAACTGTAACATTCAATGGGGGTTCTGTGTTAGAATGATCCCCTGCAACCTACGCTGTTTGAAAGAGGCGACTGGCTGACATGGATCTGGCTGCCTGCATGTCACTGTACCCTGATGGTGTGGATCCTTCACAGTATCAGTTGCTAGACAGTCTGGTCACAATTATCTGCAGGTCACCATTATATTGCTCGAATATTGCCAAGTGCAATGTTAAACAAGAAACAAACTGTAACCTGATGACAACCTCATTCAATCAGTGAGTGTTGAAGTTGGCGGGTCTATCACAGTGGCCTGTAAATATTCAAGTCTGGACCAGACAAACAAGTGATACAAAATATGAACTATGCCGCCAAGGCACGATGAAACACAAACAAAGCATCACCATCTGATCCTAAGTTTTTTCTGTTTTTGTTATTACAAGAACAGGCGCTAACATCTCTTCAAACCAAAACCCAAGTAGCCAGCTCATGACATGAATGCAATACTCTGGATCTGCTCGGCCATCAGAACTGTCAGGTCAAGGTCAAGGTGAAGTTCTCTCACAATGAGGCCAAATCTTTACTGTAATCGTCAACAGTAACCAACACAAAATCATCAATATTTGGTTTTATTTCATATTTTATACATCATTATAAAAAGTGTGGAAATGTTTAGCACTTTTTCTTTCATGAAGTCTTCTGGTCTTGTGACCCATTAAACACACCACCAATGACAACACTGTTTACTGAGGTGTTGGCCTTGGCCAGAGTTTCTGGATTATCACGGCTGTGAACAGTATTTCAGTGTTATTACTGGTCACTATCTCACTGTGGGGAGGAAAGCCAAGTGCAACACAGGTTGTAAACATGTTCCACTTTGATGAAATCCTTGAACACAGGTATAGATTTGACAAGTCAAAGTCTCATAACAAGGTCGATCTAAGAGTTGAACACACAACCATCTGGTCCTGCAGTCATTACTAGGGCTGGGACGATTCACCGATGCACCAATACATTGCGATACATTTAAGTTTGACACAGCTATCGTATCGTCGACTGGTGTATTGACAGTATTGATACAAAACGATACACAACTTTTTTTTCAAAACAGTATTATCTTAAACATGTTAAAGTACTTATTTACAGAAAAATACGCAAGTTTAAAAGTTTACAACTCACGATAAACCAGCTGTCTGTACGGTAATATTTGGCCACTACTGGACATTCATTTTAAATCTTAGTACTGTGTCATTCTTTCAAGGTGTATGTATTGTGATACGTATTGTATCGCAGGCAAAATATCGCGATGCGTATCTTATCGTGACATAGTGTATGGTCCCAGCTCTAGTCATTATGTCAATATCAACCATATAATGCATCTGATCTGTTGCATAAACACACTTCCTTCGTTGTACTTCATGATACAACACTGGTAGTGTGATACACACTTCAACCATTCCAGCCCTACTCTTCAGCTGTCAAGCTGTCTCCATCAATTGTACAAACAAACGACTGACAGCAACTCCTGGCATATAATCTGATATGTTCATTTATGAGATCCATCAACAGTCATCAAGAACTCTAATTTGTACTTTTCTTGTTGTTACCACATCTGTTTTGCTTGAACACTTTTAACCCCATACAGTGCAGAGACCTTTAACCTCCAGCCAGTGAATGTGAGGTCATGTGATGAGCTCGAATGTTTCTTGTTGAAGCACTGCTATTGGTCAAAAGTGACATGACCTTTGACCAACTAGCCTGGGTTTCACTACTGACTGGTGGACTGGTGGAAGAAGCGTTGGTAAAGGTGGCCCATCTTGTCGATGTTGGAGTGGATGATGGACTGGATCACTTCAGTGTATTTGTCACAGACTTAGGCATCACAGACTGGCAACAGAAAACACACTAGGAGTGAGTGATATCAGAGGTGACTTATATCAGATTTTATAGTCACAGAGGTCAGCAGTGTTTCAGCCACATCATATCAGACAGAGGTTACATGTTTGGTTGGTACAGATAGATATCAGATGTGATGTTTGGGTGATTAGGATGGTGGGTTGACAGGGGTGATGTTTGGTTGGTATCAGATGTGATGTTTGGGTGATATCAGAGGTGATGGTGGGGTGATATCAGAGGAGATGGTGGGTTGATATCAGAGGAGATGGTGGGTTGATATCAGAGGTTACATGTTTGGTTGGTATCAGATGTGATGTTTGGTTGGTATCAGATGTGATGTTTGGGTGATATCAGAGGTGATGGTGGGGTGATATCAGAGGTTACATGATCAGAGGTGATGGTGGGGTGATATCAGAGGTGATGGTGGGTTGATATCAGAGGAGATGGTGGGGTGATATCAGAGGTGATGGTGGGATGATATCAGAGGTGATGGTGGGGTGATATCAGAGGTGGTGGTGGGTTGATATCAGAGGAGATGGTGGGTTGATATCAGAGGTGATGGTGGGGTGATATCAGAGGTGATGGTGGGGTAATATCAGAGGGGATAGTGGAGTGATATCAGAGGTGATGGTGGGGTAATATCAGAGGTGATGGTGGAGTGGGGTGGGATGATATCCGAGGTGATGGTGGGATGATATCCAAGGTGATGGTGAGGTGGTATCAGGGGTGATGGTGGGGTGATATCAGAGGTGGTGGTGGGATGGAATCAGAGGTGATGGTGGGATGATAACTGAGGTGATATCGGGGCTGGTGTGGGATGATATCAGAGGTGGTGGTGGGGTGGGGTGATATCAGAGGTGATGGTGGGATGGAATCAGAGGTGATGGTGGGGTGATATCAGAGGTGATGGTGGGATGATTACTGAGGTGATATCAGGGCTGGTGTGGGATGATATCAGAAATTAAGGTGGGGTGGGGTGATCAGAGGTGGTGGTGGGGTGGGGTGATATCAGAGGTGATGGTGGGGTGATATCAGAGCTGATAATGGGGTGATATCAGGGCTGGTGTGGGATGATATCAGAAGTTAAGGTGGGGTGGCATAAGATTTGATTATGTGGTAGTGATTTATTACCTATGTGCTTGATTAAGTATTCATGAAACCATAAAAACAATGAGTGGACAGTGAGTTACCATCAGACCACTGATGGTTCCTTACCTCTGCTGTCTAAATCTTTCCTTGTGATGGTGGGGGGATTCTCCTGCAATGAAATTAGACCAGGTCATGTTGCTGTTGCAGCAGTGTTTCAGTTCTAACACACAGGAGAGTCACCTAAAACATCTCTAATCAAGAGAAGGAAACATGATACCAGGGAATACACACAGGAAACATTGCACACATGACACCAGATCAATGTTTAATACGTTGTTTGGTGCGATCAGCAATATTCCAGCTATATGATGGCAGTCTGTATGGGGAGATCACATGAAACATCTCTATGTACTTGAGAGAACAGGTGTGGAAATAACTTTAAAATTGCTAGTGTACTCAGGTACAGTGGCACATGTAAAATCACTTTCCCTGATAATTTTTCCACTATACCGGCCGATTTTCTTGTTAATTTTTTTAAATAAACAACATAATTAACATTGGAAAGTCAACTGGACACCGGTACAGTGTGATAGACAAATTTGCATGCCAGACAGAAAAAAACACTAGACTGGGACGTCGGGCCATGGGTTATTTCTAACCCTGGAGAAGGAAACATTTGGATGTAAGGGACTACAAAAAAACATTGTATACATTACACAAGATCTATTATTGATGTGTTGTGTGTTGCAGCTCTTGTCAGTATAACAGCTGATTGATGGCAGTCTGTGAATAATCCAGTGAGGACAAAGCAATCCATCGAATGATATCATAAGAAGACAAAGTCATCAATATCCCCCTCAATGGCAAAATACTCTTCATGATTATGTCTACGAGTTATGATTATGTCAAATATTTAGGTGTGTATATAGAAAAGTGGAAGGAGAGTATTGAAAGGTTTCTAAAGTTCTGCTCCAGAAAGGAGCACTATCACCAATTTCAGTCAAACTTGTTGCCATGGAAATGCCAAAAATATTTTATTCAGAATTCCAAAACTACCAAAAGGCACCAGTACACCACCAGACCAATCTATGTGCCAAGTTTGGTGAAGAAATAGTGAACAGTTTTAGAGTTCAGCTCCGGAAAAGAGCACTACCACAATTTCAGGCTAAGTCGAACTTGTTGCCATGGAAACGCCAAAAATATTTTATTCAGAATTCCAAAACTACCAAAAGGCGCAAGTACACCACCAGATCTACCTATGTGCCAAGTTTAGTGAAGAAATAGTAAACAGTTTTAGAGTTCAGCTCCGGAAAAGAGCACTACCACAATTTCAGGCTAAGTCAAACTTGTTGCCATGGAAACGCCAAAACTATTTTATTCAGAATTCCAAAACTACCAAAAGGCACCAGAACACCACCAGATCCATGTATGTGCCAAGTTTGGTGAAGAAATATTGAACGGTTTTAGAGTTCTGCTCCGGAAAAGACAAATGTGCACGGATGCACGCACGGACGGAGTCCATTTTAATACCCCCGCAAAACGCGTTGTAGGGGATAATAAGCTATCAAGATTGATGATACACAACAAACCAGGTCACCCGACCACCTGATGAACATAGTCTCCTGTTAAGACAAGTCTAGCTGCTGGGGACTGTTATTCCTGCCCAGTATGATCATGGTCCCCAAGTGTGAAGATACAACTCACCTTGATGTATCTCCAGATAGCAATCAGCAGCAGATAGCCTTCATAGGGTGTGACAAAGTGGAACAAGTCCACCACGTGGCCCAGCGGGGAGGGCAGCATCTTGCTCTGTGGAGTAGCAACATCCTCATTGATGTACCTCTTCCATAACACACACATCAACCTCTTCTATCCTTCCTTATACCACTAGGGTATGTTATGTCCATTGTTCTGGCAGGTTGATTTTCTGTGTATCAACCTTCTATCTGCACGTGCAGAGGTTGATATGTGGATAACAACCTTGGCGGTGCAGGAAACGTACGTGCAACAAGCAATGTACGAGTCCATACGGCTCCCACGTGGTTATAAGTAGGTTAGCACCCCCTCTCTGCGGGTGATATGGATTCAACGCTCTCGCCTGATGGCTCGAGCGTTGAAATCCATATCACCCTTGAGGAGGGTGCTAACGTATACATATTTCTAACATTCACTCTGAAAACATCTGCATGACTTCAAGGGCACACAAACCATGAGTATTAGGTAACATTACTACAGACCCATGCAAAGAGTATTCGGACACTTGACGTAATTTCCATAGACTTACATGTTATTACAGTGTAGCATAAATAATTTTCATGAAGTGAGATTAGGATGGATCTTTGTAAAATTTGACAGGCAAATGTGAAATCATCTCTGCTCTGCGCACGTAATTTCAGTTAAATTTTCCGACCACTATTTAACTAATGACATCACATTCATCAACTTACGTATGGTTCCACAATCCACAATCCCATAGGCCGCCACATTAAAGGAGTTCACGGCACTGTACATATGTTGATTAAATTGTTGCCATTCGATAAATAAGCAACGGAAAATTAAACAGAAATTATGTGATTGTAGGTAAGATGATTCCTCACAAATGTGCAAAATTCATGAAAATTATTTATGCTACACCAAATTAACATGTAAGTCTATGGAAATTACGTCAAGTGTCCAAATACTTTTTGCACGTCTCTGTAGATTGTTTGAGATTGCAGATGATTTAGGTGTTTTGTGTTCATAGACTTACACTGTGATCTAACAACACACACAGCAAGCCTGTGTCATCAGGGTGTATACACAAGTAATAAGTTGCTTGGAACCTTTTCTAATCTAGAATCTCCACTTTATGAAAAGTACTGATAAAATGTATAAACTGACCCTCCCAAGGCACTGGACAAGTCTGCAGGCTGCATCATAATACTGGGGTGAGTTCCTCATTGCCTTCTCACGGCTGTTGTCAAAGTGATTCAGGACGGTACCCATAATGCATCTAAACACTGGTGACAGGAAGCAGACGACACTGGAACCTGGACAACACAATGACCTAATGAGTGGTCATATCAACACAATGACCTAATTAGTGGTCATCTGAACACAATGACCTACTTAGTGATCATCTCAACACAATGACTTAATTAGTGGTCATCTCAACACAATGACCTAATTAGTGGGTCATCTCAACACAATGATCTAATTAGTTTGTCATCTCAACACAAGGACCTAATTAGTGGTCATCTCAACACAATGATCTAATTAGTGGTCATCTCAACACAATGACCTAATTAGTGGTCATCTCAACACAATGACCTAATTAGTGGTCATCTCAACACAATGATCTAATTAGTGGTCATCTCAACACAATGATTTAATTAGTGGTCATCTTAACACAATGACTTAATTAGTGGGTCATCTCAACACAATGACTTAATGAGTGGTCATCAACACAGTGACCTCTCAACACAAGTCATCTCAGACCTAATGGTCATCATCTCAACACAAGGACCACAAGGATCTAATTAGTGGTCAAGTAGTGGGTCATCTCAACACAATGACCAATTAGTGGTCATCTCAACACAGTGACCTAACACAATTAGTGGTCATCTCAACACAAGGACCTAAGTAACACAAGTAATTAGTGGTCATCTCAACACAAGGACAATTAGTGGTCTGATAATGACCTCTCAACAGAATGAAAATTAGTGGAATCACCATAACATTATAAGAAATATAATTATCATCTCAAACACAAGAAGATATATTTAATTAGTGGTCATCATGTTTAGGGGGATCTACATTCAACAGATGACCTTACCCTGATCTCACACTCAGTGATAATGACCTTCACCATAACATTATAAGAAACATATTATCAAAACACAAGAAGATATATTTACATCTTGTTTAGGACATTCCAAGATGTTAGTGAACACTTGTACTGTTCGTTTACATCTTGTGGAGTGAGTGAGTGTTTAGTTTTATGCCGCATTCAGCTGGGCCAGCAATATTACGGCGGGGGACACCAGAAATGGGCTTCACACATTGTACCCAAGTAGGGGAATCCAGCCTGGGTCTTTGGCATGGAGCGAACGCTTTAACCACTAGGCTACCCCACAGATACAGTGGACTCAGAAGTTGAAAAAGGTACTTCACTGGCGGATCCAGAGAGGGGGTTCAGGGGGTTCGAAAACCACAAAAAAAACCAAGATCAAGTTCTGAGATGGTGAAAAGTATTTGTCTAGTGTGCATTCTTGAAATTCAACAAGGCAGACATAAAATTTGAGGTAAACATTTTAAGGACAAATATTTCATTTCGTGTACTCACTGTGTGAGAAGGCTAAGAAAATGTTCCACACGACGGGGTGTTCCTCCATCTGGCGCCACACCAGCAGGTCCCTGGGGGAGGCGAGGGGAGATAAGCATATATGTTAGTTACACCCTGCCATCAGCTTGATGTAGGAAGGAAGCAGTTTTGCAGGTCAAGTTAGACTTCAGTGAAACCCAGGAGCAGGGGCATGGACCAGACAAACCAGGATTTGAACCCAGGAAATTATTCTCAGGTTAAACACACAAAAACTAAAAAAAGTAATGTTCACAGGATTTTCTGAAAATTGTAAATTTTCACTATAAATTGTATATTTATATACTTATCCTATCTCATGGTATGCACTTCACTCTCTTGCTTCAACAGTGTAAACTTAAACGATGTAAACTTTTCTCCCAAGGCCTCTCTTGTTCATTCGCCCAAGCACTCCATGCTACCCTCCTTATAAGACAGCTTCCTAGTTGTCAAGAGAAGCCTGCAGCATGCACCACTATCTACCCACGTGACCACCTTTGAATCATCATTCTCGTTCTTGGAGCCACAAAATAATCTGCGTAGCAGGGAGGTTGGGTGGGAATCTATCGCATGAGATAGGATAAGTATAAAAACATACAATTAATACTTAAAATTTACATATTTTTTAATTTATCCTATCTCATAGTATGCACTTATCCTACGGTTGGATGGCAGGAATAGATGCCCTAAGTCTTAACAGTGCGAACAGCAGGAACTGTGTAGACTGGTAACAACCGTAGATAGCGATGCACAAGGGAGGCCTGTTACGACTAGCGCAACTCCTATGCTTGTGATGAGTTCTCGGTGAACTCCATGGCTCACTAAGCACAACGTCTCTCACGGAGATGGATGCTCCCGAGCAATGTGGTGTTCGGCCGCAACCTCTGAAGAATGTAAGGACGTAACTCAGCAAGTAAAGCCTCGCTGCGCCACAATTTACAAGGTACCCCTGTAAATCAAAGTCTGTTGACAATAATTGGGCGAGGTCCTACTTCAAGAAGACCCCCACAGACACCGACAAGGGGCGGGTGAAAGAGAAGCACAACTCAGAAAGCTCACAGTTTTAACATTCAGTTCCAGTCAACATCAAATTGAGCCTCACTCCTTTACATAAGGTAAGAACGTTGATCCCTGGATCTAGAACAATGGACTGCAGTCGACCGGGTAGGAGATCTAGGTTGATGTGTTGAATACGCTGAGGTAATAGTCCCATAATGATGAGAGGTCGAAGATCGATAAGGAGACCTTGAGCGTAAAACAGAGCTTATAGATGTGGGCGAAAGTAGTACATTTCTCTGAACGAGATCGATTTGAAGTGTGGCGTCTGGAAGGCGATTGAGAGCTATCAGGTCGTCTCGGCCAATATATCCGAATAATAGTAGGTCATTGATCCAAACGGTTCTGTGAAATCGTTTTGACGTTTTCACGTCAAAGAAAAATGACTAGAAGAGTCAACAGAGTTCGGCTAATCACCAAGAGAAGTAGGATTTGGTGAAAGCTATTTCGGTGAATGCTGATTTGAGGAATGCCGTTTCTGCGAAAACTGGATCGACAAATGCTGATTGGGCTAAAGCTGGACGGTTAGGCGTAAAGCGCGGACTGGCTGGTCCCGTCCGACATGATCTAGTGAACTGTGGTTCGACGAAAGTGTTGGTTTCAGCGAAATGAATGATCGAGGCATCGGAGCACTGGCGACAACTGGCTGGCGACAACACTCCTATTCACCGAATGGGAAGCATTCAGCTTAAATGACTAAAGGTGTGTCACAAAGGTCTTGCAACCGTTCCGGCGAACTAGTCCGATTCCTTTCGCTGCTGGAAGAATGATGACGGGATATAGAATGGCTTCAACAAATGCGAACCAGCTACTTCCTATCCGAAGAAACTGATAGCCCAGGCTCCCGAGAATCCCTTGACAACTGACCAGGGAGGCGAGAGACCGAAAGAATAGCCCTAAGATTCCGCTGCTGGGAAGTAGCCTGGGGGTGGCAAAACCCTCAACAACCCCCACATGGGATGTGGGCTCGGGCTGGATCTGAGATCTTCCGATAAATATGAGTCAGAGGATGCTCTCATAAAATCCTCTTCGTTGGAGTGAGGAGACCGATGAGCAGTGATAATGGGGCTCTTAATCTTGGCTTTCTTAGTGGGGCTGGGTCCTTCTACTGATGCTGCATATCTCGATCGATCAGCAATATGTCGAGAGCAGGCCCAGGATAACTCAAAGGTAAGATGCTTGGATTTATCACATCGATTGTGCCAGTTACATTGTCCCACACAATCGACACAGGAAGAATGCAGATCGCTCGAAGAGAAAACCTTGTTGCATTGTGCACATTTTTTCCTCTTCTTGGGCTGGTCGGTCTTCCCCATGATGTTTTTTTCTTAGAATAGTTGAAGAAACGATGAGTAATGTAAACCACGTCCACACTCAGGTGCAACAAGAAGGAGAATGATGATTCAAGGGTGTCCATGTGGGTAGATAGTGGGGCATGCTGCAGGCTTTGGTTGACGGCTGGGAAGCTGTCTTATAAGGAGGGTAGCATGGAGTGCTTGGGCGAATGGACAAGAGAGGCCTTGGGAGAAAAGTTTACATCGTTCCACTCAGTGTCGAAGCAAGAGGGAGAAGTGCATACCGTGAGATAAGATAGGTATAAAAATTGATGTGATGTCAACAAAACAATGTAACCATAGCAACAAGGAAGAGACATTAACCTACACAGTAGGAATATATTCCTGCTGAAAAACTACAATCAACACAGTAGTAATATATTCCTGCTGAAAAACTACAATCAACTTAATAGGAAACATGCGACTAGTTCTTGATGTGGCAAAAAGCTGTATACTCCCCCAGGGAGCTCAGACTACATTTAAAGACGCAATAATCAGTTCTCAGCGAAATGTGTTCACATGCTATCACATATATGATTTGATTACTATCATAAAATATGCCTTCCGCTTACCTCTCAAGTGAGATCCGGAGAAACTCCTCCTCTGGCCAGTGTGTGTCATTGTACAGCATGTCTGGAGTGGCCAGCTCAACCAACACACTACTCAGAGTCCGTGCAGCTACCTCGTCAATGTTCTGACTTCTTGTCTCCTTCACTTCCGTTTCCATGGAGTCATACATACTGTCGTCCCTAGCAACAATTTCTTGGCAACAGTTGAGCAGGGCATCAACAAGACTTTGAATGTTGCGAGAAATTTGCTCCTGAAAATGATGACATATACTGAATAACAGTATGGTAACAATTACTTTAAAGGGCTTCCGGTTTCATATCTCTCTTGTGTTTTGTTATACAAAAAGAGGTTAGTCTTTACCTGTAACTGTAAATTTACCTGTAAATGAGTGAGTATGGGCTTACGCCGCTATCAGCAATATCATGGTGTGGGTCACTAGAAATGGGCTCAACGCGTTGTACCTATGTAGGGAATTAAACCCGAGCTTTTGGTATAACAAGCAATATTTTGGTATAGGTCAGCCTACCGCCCCAATATCTAAAGAAACAAAGATAAAAATTAGGCGTGTTTTGTTTAGAGACATTATCATTACAGATTGTCACCATGGATGACATGGGGTTTGGTGTCAAATTCAAGATTACTGCATGGTAACAGCTACGTGCATATACAGAGCATCTCTATGAAGATAACATGACCCAGATAAACATTGATACTCCAGTCAGACCAGGTGTACATGTTCCATGCTGACCAGGCCTTGTGTGAGGCCCTTCATGCTGGCATCCATGTTAGAATTGGTCTTCAGCAACCCATGTCTATCGTAAGATGTTAAACATTTAAACAAGTTCTTCCTGCTGCTACCAGGCAGGGTAACAAGAAGTTGGAGTTGACCTTACCAAGGTGCTGTTCCAGCTGTTCCACAGAGTGATGTCACAGTGATCATATAAGTTATCACATCGTGTCGAGGGAAATACGGGTTTTTTATCAGTCCCGAGTAAGGTTGTATTCCCCGAGTCGGAGGTGAAGGGAATACAACCTTACGAGGGACTGATAAAACCCCGTATTTCCCTCGACACGATGTGATAACGAATTTATCTAGCCGAAAGTTTTGCTTCAATTTCATTCTCAGTTGTTGTGGCAAAACGTTTCCTTGCTGCCATGTTGACACCAGCAGATCGATTGACCTCAATGCAGCGCACGTTACTAAAGGCTTGGCGATGCACGCTTTTCTCACTTCGCGTGGTCACCGAGGCGTGGCGGGATAATATGACTTTTGTACTCCCTGCTCGCGGATCGTGACGGGTGTACATGGTATTTTATCAGAGTCACGTGAACCAATCAAAACTCAACATTCTTACATGAGGCTGGATAATCATAACTCTCTCCCTTCAACTCAACACTGCTTCAACACTGACTGACTGACTGAGTTTGGTTTTACACCCCCTTAGCAATATTCCAGCAATATCACGGCGGGGGACACCAGAAATGGGCTTCACACATTGTACCCATGTGGGGATTCCTACCCTGGTCTTCGGCGTGACGAGCCAACGCTTTAACCATTAGGCTACCCCACCGCCCCGGACTTGCTAACATGTTGATCAGGTAAGATCAGTTATCATCACTTGTACAAATCTAGCTAACACGTTGGCCAGTCACTAATGACCATACAGATGATGCATCCATTTTTTTTAAGAGGTCAAATTTTCTCACCTTTGAATAATTATTTTTGATTGGCTGTGGTTTTAGACCTTGACCTATGACCCCTGCATGGAAGACACTGGATGAAGTTTTCGGTAAGGTCATGGACATGGCTCTCTGCTGGTTCTCCATAAACAAGGAGACAGTGTCTTGAGACTGCAAACTCTTTTTCGGATGTAGAATCAAACTTCCCTCCAAACAAAAAGCAGTTCTCCTGCAAAAACAAACAAATAATGTAAATTTTCTGAATAAAATTGATATTTTATACTTATCCTGACTCATGCTTAATTGCTCGTCTTCTTCCTCTTGCGAACATAGTGGAACACTTGTATCTCCTTATTGAAGCTCCCTTCAATAATGTATGTAAAATCACTAATCACTACTCACCAAGAGTTATCCCTTCTTCCTGTTGTGGCAGGAACTGGCGCCACTGTTCCCCCACATGCTTCACTCTCTCCTGATTATGAGCCCGACACTTGAATTTGCAGGGAAATCCAAAGTGTCTAGTGGGGAGGTTGGGAGGGCTTACCTCATGAGTCAGGATAAGTATAAAATATCAATTTTATTCAGAAAATTACATATTTTTCCGTATCCTGACTCATGCTTAATTGCTTGTAGAATCCGACTGAATAGGTGGTGGGAAAAGCACTTTAGGATTTATTTAGTGAATTTTACGTCAATATATACCCCCCTACGGGAACTTCATAATGGCACTGTATTTACTGCTAAACTCTGCTGCTGTTAGCAATCGTGTTCTTTCAGCTGCCTTTTGATGGGGGGACCACAATTGTTAACTTTTGGTCCTACTTTTTCTGTTAACATTTCAATGTGGATTTAGCGACTCCATGTGGAGAAGCAACCCTTGCTGTACGAGTAAACTAACAAGTACTGGGTTTATCACTTATGCTAGTCTTGAGACGTGCATAGATATTCAAGCAAAACTCTGCTGAGTGTAGGCTTGATAAGTCATGTGATAACACAGCGAGACTACGTCTCATCTTCTGTGAGGAACTGTCAACTGTTGTGCAACAACCAGTGGGCCGAAATGGTGAATGCCTGAGACGTCCTCGGTGGCGATATCTCTCAAGTAGTGGTTTGCAAACACCATGTCCGATTTCCAGAAGCAGCCCTCCATGATCGTGGTAAGCGAGCAATTCCCATGTAGAGCGAAAGTGTTGACGCTAGCGCTCTAATTTCGCGGTGGGTTGGAGGCTCTTGGAGGATCGAGTCCTGCTGCTTTGTAGGCCCATAGTATGACAGTTCTTATCCAGATTGATATCGTAGTGCAGGAGACTTCCATCTGTGTCACTGTTGATAGCGGGACGAAAAGTCGTTTAAACTTGGCGTCTCCTTATTCTGGATCGATGTAGATAAACTTTCAATGCTCTCACTGGGCACAAGGATAAGTCAAGCGTATCATGTGGTCCGAGTATGGATGATAAGGCGGGGACGTGGAATTGTCTGTCCGGTTGACCTGGCAGTTGATTCTTAGCGATGAAATCCCATCGCAGTCCCATATGCACTGTGTTTTGATTTTCATCAAAGTGCGTTCTCTCGTAATCTAGAGCATGAATGTCCGACATCCTGACTGCTGTTGCTAGGGCTATCACGAACAGTGTTTTCTGTGTCAAGAATTCGAAGGATGTCGTCGCTAATGGTTCGTGGATGTCACTTGTGAGATGTCTGAGAACGATGTTGAGATACCATGCCGGAGCTTGAAATCTCTGTTTTTGGTCCTCCAATTTATAAGAGCGTAACAAGGCCAGTAACTCTGGTACTTTCGTTAGCTTGGCACCCGTCCTCATAGTAATAACTGAGCTCAATGCCGCTAGGTACGTTGAGAGTGTAGACCCTTTTAGTCGCTTTGTTTGCCGTAGGTGACAAAGATAGTCCGCCACTTGAGGATGTGTTGCTTTTCTAGCTGAAAATCCATTTCTAGCAGCGTAGGTCTCAAAGCTGCGCCACTTGTCGTCGTACAAGTTGCGTGTAGAATTGCGTGAAGCAAGCGTGACTGCTTTCGCCGCTCTGGCGGAGTACCCTCTCTTGTTTAAACATGCCTTGATACAGTCCACACGTGTAGTTGGAATGCCCTGGGTTGCCGTCGTATGCTGCTTTGTGTGAGGATGTACTAGTAGATTCGACCGCTCTGGTAGTTGCAGTATTGGTGGTCTGGAGTTCTTGTATGAGAATGGGAAACCACATTCTCGCTGGCCAGTAGGGAGCGACCAAAATCAGTTGGAGGTTCCTTGTCTGGCTGATTTTCTGTAACACCCTCGGTAGTAGCGCTGGCGGAGGAAACGCATACGCGTTTAGTCCTTCCCAGGATATGCTGAGAGCGTCTGTTGCCCACGCTCGTGGATCTGGGACTGGAGAGACGAATGTTGTTATCTGATTGTTGAAGCGTGTGGCGAAGAGGTCTATCAATGGAGCTCCTATTTCCTTGATGATCTGTGTGAAGATCTCTGGATGGAGTATCCATTCCGTCGGCGATGGTAGATTTGGACGGGATAGTGCGTCTGCTAAGACAGTCTGGGCTCCTGGAATGTGACATGCTCTTACGTGGATGTTCAGATCGTCGATGAGGTCGAACAGTTGAAAGCAGAGATCCAATAGGTTCAATGATCTTGTTGAGCCTTGCTTGTTTATGTAAAACGCCACTGTAGAGTTGTCTGTGTGTACCAAGAGATGCGCATTCTGTAGAATGGTGCTCCAATGGAGTATGGCGTTGATGACTGCTTTCATCTCCAGCATGTTGATATGCAGACTTCTCTCTTCCTGATTCCATATCCCGGCTGCCACATTCATGTTGAGATGTGCTCCCCAACCTTGGAGTGACGCGTCCACGTATAGATGAGTCTTGAACTCCGGCTCTGCTAAATAGATGCCTTCGCAAACATTCGACCTCCGGGTCCACCATAGTAGATGAGGTCTGAGGTAATTCGGGAGACCGGCTGGGTTGTAGGTCGCCGAGATGAGCGCTGATGAGGACCTGTAACGGGCGTAGCTGTAGTCTGCCTCTGGCTGTCATGTCTTGTGCGGACGTGAGGAGATCCAACAGACTCTGCCACTGTCGGAGTGGCCACGGAGAGAGTAAGGCTTTAGGGATTGTCTGTTGAATCTTGAGCCATCAGTCCTCTGGCACGACGATACGGTTCTGCGTTGTGAGAAATCTGATGCCTAGAAACTGCAGGTCCTGTGTAAGTTCTAGGTCCGACTTGAGTAGATTCACTAACCATCCTAGCTGAGTGAGTAGATTGATGGTGAAATTCAACTGTAGTCTGAGAGGCTCTGGATCTTGATCTACTTGAATCCCGTCGTCGAGGTAGAATGCACTGCGTAGCCTTCGATGATGTAGATATGTGACTATGGGTTTCGTCACCCTTGTAAACAACCAGGGGGCCGATGATATTCCAAATGGCAGGACCTTCCATTGGTAATGTAGCCCGTCCAGTGTAAATCTGAGGTACTTTCTCGAGTCGGGATGTATAGGGATATGCAGGTAGGCATCCTGTAGATCTATGCTGGCCATGTAGTCCATGGGACGGACGAGGTGGATTAGTTGAGGTAGATGTATCATGCGGAACGTGGGAGGTCTGCATAGATAATCCCTGTTGAACGTGCTCATATTGTAGATGAGTCGGAACTTTTCTTTGGAGTTTTTCTTTGGAACCAGGAAAACTGGGGAGTAGAAACCTGGGGTGATGTTGACTGGATCCACGATTTCTAAGGCCCGCTTGGTTAGAAGAGATGAGACGGCCTCTCGTAACTTCTCTAGCTGATGTGTCTTGAAGTCGAACTTGTGCGGGTTGACTGTAAGCGGAGGCGTGGCCTGTAGTTGGATGCGATATCCGTGTCTTAGGATGTTGGATACGTATGGATCTTGTAGTATTCCCCAGTTTTGCCAGTGTAGTTGTAGACGTCCACCCACTTGGGAAGGTTGTACAGGAACGGCTGGGGGTGGAAGACTCCAGTCGTTCCGAACCCGTCTTTCATTGTCGATAATCCCTGGAGCCTCTGGGTGCCCTGCCTCGTCCGGATCTTGCTCTGTAGTTGCCGGTAGGGCGGCAAAAGAGTCTTTCCCGCCTCTGGAGCTAGCCACTTTCTTGTCCCGTGCCCTCTGTATTCCAGGAAACTTGGATCTTCCTGAGTAACGCTGGGATGTCTGCCTGATGACGCTGGCCAGAGTGTCTATGGATTTGATCATTAGTCTCTCTTGAATCTTTGGTAACTTCCTTAGCAACCTTGTCGATTTCTCCAGCGAAGATGGAAGGAGTTGACCACGGGGCTGTGTAGAGTGACTTGGTAAACCGCTCACTCCAACTGCAGGAGGTGAGGAGACCTTGTCGACGAGCCAGAGTCAGCGCTGCGGAGATGGATGAAAGGTGGTCTGTCATGAACTGTTGGTCCTTCTTCTGCATAAGGAGGGCCGAATAAATCATTCTATCTTCTTCCGCAGTGGAGTCTCGAAACTTGGCGATGAGCGTTTCGTTGACTGCCCGAGATCTGTTAAGGCCGAAGAACATCCGTCTGGTCATAGTTTCCACTTGAGCCAGCTTCTGCATAAAGTCGCCCGGGTTGCAGGTCTGCGGTGGTACTGGCGCTGCCCTTTCTGCCGTGATGGCGACGGGGCCCACTGGACGGTCATCTGTTGTCAGCGTTGATACCTCGGGTTGAGAAGAGATCTGAGCTGAAGTCACCATAGCTGAGACCGGTCGTTTCTTGCGAGGAACCTGTGGGATGATGATTGGCTGATCATCATACAGACCCTGTTCTGTCAAGGGAACAATCTCGGCCGAGAAAGTTCTGGTTGTCTGCGCTGACTTCCCCTTGGTGGTGGACGCTGCCCTGGGGGTGCGGAGTCTGCGCTGGGTGGATGACGACCTCCGAGTCTTAGACTGCGACGACGGGATGTCTGGAGAAGCAGGTCTCTTCTTGGAGATGGCGGACTTCGTCCCACGCCTCTCCTCCGAGGGAAACTCCAGCGGAACACCAGACGGTAGGGGGTCGTCAGACAGCAGTTGACTGGTGAGGGACTCAGCTGAATTATCCATGACTGGATCAACCCTTCTCGACCTATCTGCGGCATGTCTCAGGACGCAAAGAAGGTATTTATTAAATGCACAAGTAGATAAACGCTTGCAATAATTGCAGCGTGCGCTGAAAGAACATGGTACCGTGCAGCTAGGGCATATTAGGTGCGGGTCAGCAGCAGAGAAACGTAACTTACATTTGGAACAGATTTTCATGAACGTAAACTACTGAACAAACACGGACTACACCGTGAATAAACAGTGCTAAATACAATTAAATATCAAATCATATCGATGAAGGATACCAGCTAAACCTCTATAATAGACTAATAGAGGTAACTGACTAAGTAATAAAAGGATATAGCGCCGTAAGGAGACACAGGCGCTCTCACAACCTGCTCACAGGGCGAAGAAGGAGAGAGTGAAGCATGTGGGGGAACGGTGGCGCCAGTTCCCGAAAACAGGAAGAAGGGATAACTCTTGGTGAGTAGTGATTAGTGATTTTACGTACGCATTATTGAAGGGAGCTTCAATAAGGAGATACAAGTGTTCCACTATGTTCTCAAGAGGAAGAAGACAAGCAATTAAGCATGAGTCAGGATAAGGAAAAATTATATGTTTTAATGCAGACAGAGTATATTTCCAGCACAGCTATGGAGAAGAACACATACATTGGTTGGTTGGTATGTTGTTTAACACCGCACTCAGCAATATTCCAGCTATATGGTGGGGGTCTGTAAATAATTGAGTCTGGACCATACAGTACAGTGATCAACAGCATGAGCATCGATCTATACAATTGCAATATGATGACATGTGTCAACCAAGTCAGCGAGCCTGACCACCAGATCCTGTTAGTCGCCTAATACAACAAGCATGGGTTACTGAAGATCAATTCTAACCCGGATCTTCGCAGGTAAGAACACATATGTCTGAAGTTAGAGGTGATGGTTAAAAAGTTACCTGGGAGGTTGCACCTTCAGTCAGGAACTGTATCAGCATACATTGTGCTGAAGAATGGCGATGCAGCTGGCGAAAACAGCTCTTGCATAGGCGCACATTCCGCAAAGTCTTGGCATCATCTAGCAAGGAGAGGATAACAGACTGTTGGAACATAATCCCATAAAAGAGGTCAATGCTTGTGTCTTACCTGTATACTTCAGCATGGTGAAGGTGAGTCTAGTATTTACCTGTAAACTTCAGCATGGTGAAGGTGAGTCTAGTATTTACCTGTATACTTCAGCATGGTGAAGGTGAGTCTAGTATTTGCCTGTATGCTACAGCATGGTGAAGGTGAGTCTTGTATTTGACTGTATGCTACAGCATGGTGAAGGTGAGTCTAGTATTTACCTGTATACTTCAGCATGGTGAAGGTGAGTCTAGTATTTACCTGTATACTTCAGCATGGTGAAGGTGAGTCTAGTATTTGCCTGTATGCTTCAGCATGGTGAAGGTGAGTCTTGTATTTACCTGTATGCTACAGCATGGTGAAGGTGAGTCTAGTATTTACCTGTATACTTCAGCATGGTGAAGGTGAGTCTAGTATTTACCTGTATACTTCAGCATGGTGAAGGTGAGTCTAGTATTTACCTGTATACTGTACTTTAGCATGGTGAAGGTGAGTCTAGTATTTACATGTATGCTACAGCATGGTGAAGGTGAGTCTTGTATTTGACTGTATGCTACAGCATGGTGAAGGTGAGTCTAGTATTTACCTGTATACTTCAGCATGGTGAAGGTGAGTCTAGTATTTACCTGTATACTTCAGCATGGTGAAGGTGAGTCTAGTATTTGCCTGTATGCTTCAGCATGGTGAAGGTGAGTCTTGTATTTACCTGTATGCTACAGCATGGTGAAGGTGAGTCTAGTATTTACCTGTATACTTCAGCATGGTGAAGGTGAGTCTAGTATTTACCTGTATATTTCAGCATGGTGAAGGTGAGTCTAGTATTTACCTGTATATTTCAGCATGGTGAAGGTGAGTCTAGTATTTACCTGTATATTTCAGCATGGTGAAGGTGAGTCTAGTATTTACCTGTATATTTCAACATGGTGAAGGTGAGTCTAGTATTTACCTGTATATTTCAGCATGGTGAAGGTGAGTCTAGTATTTACCTGTATATTGGTGAAGGTGAGTCTACCTGTATACTTCAGCATGAAGGTGAGTCTAGTATTTACCTGTATATTTCAACATGGTGAAGGTGAGTCTAGTATTTGCCTGTATACTTCAGCATGGTGAAGGTGAGTCTAGTATTTACCTGTATACTTCAGCATAGTGAAGGTGAGTCTTGTATTTACCTGTATATTTCAACATGGTGAAGGACAGTCTAGAATTTACCTGTATATTTCAACATGGTGAAGGTGAGTCTAGTATTTACCTGTACACTTCATCATGAAGGACAATTAACATTTACCTGTATATTTCAGCATGGTGAAGGACAGTCTAGAATTTACCTGTATATTTCAGCATGATGAAGGACAGTCTAGTATTTACCTGTATATTTCAACATGGTGAAGAATGTACAGGTGAGGTTGGAGCACAGACAGATGAGCACGGAGGTCTGGAGCGTTGCTGGGATCTGGATGTGGCTGAGGATCTGCAGCACGGTTGAGGAGATGTCGCGGCTGGGATGGAGCAGCAACTCCGACAGCGACAACAGGTGCTTCTCCAGACACTTCCGCAGCTGGGAACTACAACAGAAACACAACAGTCACCCCCAGTATTGGACATTTTAACTACAAAATGTAATTTTTTGAGTAAAATTGATATTTTATACTTATCCTGACTCATGCTCTTTTGCTTGTCCCCTTCCTCTTGCGAACATAGTGGAACACTTGTATCTCCTTAATTGAAGCTCCCTTCAATATAAAATCACTAATTGGTACTCATCCAAGAGTTGCCTCCCCTGCCGTAAGCGCGGGAACAGGTGTCGCCACCCTCTGGCCTCATGCTTCACTCTCTCCTGATTTTGCAGCCCAACACTTGAATTTACAGGAAATCCAAAGTGTTATGTGGGGAGGATGGGAGGGTTAAACCTCATGAGTCAGGATAAGTATAAAATATCAATTTTACTCAAAAATTACATATTTTCCTTATCCTGACTCAAGCTCTTTTTGTAGAATCCACCGGAGTGGAGGTGGGCATAAACAGAATACTTTGGATTTATAATTAGTGATTTAAATAACTTATACTGTAATAACCCCTGCGGGAACTTCATAAGGCATTGACTTAGGATATTTCCTTTATAATAAGCCATAGGTTATATATTACTATAACTGGGGTATTACATTACTAATATACTGATATACCAAATATAGATATAAAAAGCTACTCTGATAGAGAAGCTGTACACTGAACATAAAACTCAGTATGAGCTTAAGGTTGAATAACCTAAGCTAAATATATATACATAGCCCTAGAACTCCGTGGAGTTATAAGCTAAATAATATATGTATAATATACATAATAATCTCGTGGGGGTGAATATTAACGCCTACGAGGGACTGTCAGTTGCTGAGCGAGGACCAAAGGACCGAAATGGTGAATGCCAGAGACGTCCTCGGTGGTGATATCTCTCAGATAGTGATTAGCAAACACCATGTTAGATTTCCAGAAGCATCCTTCCATAATTGTATTCAATGAACAGTTACCGTGAAGGGCGGGTGGAGGCCAATGCCCTGATTTCATGTGGATTGATGCTGTTGGAGGGTCCAGTCCTGCTGCCTTATAGGCTGATAGAATGACAGTTCTTATCCATATAGATATGGTGGTAATGAGAGACTTCTGTCTGATTTGTAGGCGATAACGGGATGAACAATCTTCTGAGCGATCTTAAGCCTTGTTTTGGAAACGACGTAAATAGATTTTGAGAGCTCGTACTGGGCATAGAGATAAGTCCAATGTATCTTGAGATCCGAGAATCGAGGATAGCCGCAGGGACGGAAATAACCTGTCTGGTTGACCTGGTAGTTGATTTTTGGCGATGAAATCCCATCTTAATCCCAGGTGCTGTGTTTTGATTGTCATCAAACTGTATCCTCTCATAATCTAGAGCCGTGAATTTCAGATATTCTGGCTGCCGTGGGCTAGCGATAACAGGAAAATTGTTTTCTGTGAGAGAAATTCAAAGGTTGTCGATTCCAATGGTTCATAATCCTCACTTGTGAGGTGTTGTAGCACTACATTCAGATCCCAAGCTGGGCGTGGAACTTCCGCTTTTGGTCCTCCAATCGGAAAGCACGTAGTAAGGCCAGTAACTCTGGTGTTTTTGTCAATTTAACACCCGTTCTCATAGAAATCACAGAACTAAGCGCGGCAAGATATGTTGACAATGTCGAGCCTTTTAAATGTTTGTTTTGCCGTAAGTAACACAAATAGTCTGCCACTTGAGGATGCGTAGCATCTCTCGCTGTAAAACCCTTGTTTGCTGCATAATTTTCGAAACTGTGCCACTTGTCGCCATACAAGTTACGCTGTTGAGTATCGTAAGCAAAGCGTGACCGCTTTTGCAGCCCTGGTAGAATATCCTCTCTTGTTTAAACACATTTTAATACAGTCCATACGTGAAGTTTGAATACTTCTGGGTTTCTGTGCACCTGTTTGGTGTGTGGATGTATTAACAGCTTTGAGCGCTTGGGTAGCTCTAGTGCCGGTTGACCGATTTCTTGTATTAGAGCGGGAAACCACGTTCTGGCCGGCCAGTAGGGCGCGACCAAAATGAGTTGTAGGCTCTGTGTTTGGCTGATTTTCTGTAATACTTGAGGTATTATTGCTGGGGGCGAAACGCACGCGCATTGAGGCCTTCCCATGATATGCTTAGAGTCCGCCCCGCGCCGCCCATGCTTGTGGGTCTGGAACTGGTGACAATCGAATGTCGGTAGCTGATTGTTGAATCTTGTGGCGAATAGATCTACTAGCGGGCTCCTATTTGCTTGATTATCTGTGCAAATATCTCTGTATTGAGCATCCATTCTGTCGGCGACGGGTATATGTGGCCGAGAGAGCGCGTCTGCTAGTATATTCTGGCTCCGGAATGTGGCATGCTTTGACATGTAGATTTAGATCTTGGATTAATTCAACAGTTGAAAGGTTAAAGTCAAAAGGTTCGGGCGATCTCGCTTGAGCCTTGCCTGTTCACATAGAACGCCACTGTCGAAGTTGTCGGTATGTATCATCAGGTGCGCATTCTGTAGAATGTTGCTCCAATGTCTTATGGCGCTGATTACAGCTTTCATCTCTAATGAGTTTATGTGGAGCTTGCTTTCTAGCTGATTCCATAACCCTGATGCCGTCCGGTTGGTGAGATGAGCTCCCCAACCTTGGAGCCACGCGCCTACATATAGATGGGTTTTGAATTCCTGCTCTGCTAAACAAATCCCTTCGCAGAGACATTCGATTTCTTTGTCCACCATAGTAGATGAGGTCTGAGATGTTCCGTAGACTGAATGGTTGTAGGTCGCCGAGATGTGTGTTGATGAAGACCTGTAAGGGACGTAACTGTAATCTGCCTATGACTGTCAAGTCTTGGGCTGATGTTAGAAGACCTAGTGAGCTCTGCCATTGTCGGCGGTAGCGGAGAGTAGGGCTGGAGGAATGATCTGTTGGATCTTGAGCCAACGGTCTTCTGGTACCACTATACGGGTTGAGATTGGTGATAAATCGAATGCCTAGGAATTGCAGATCTTGGCGATGGTACTAGGTCCGACTTGTGTAAGTTTACTAACCATCCCAGCTGTGTTAGTAGCTTTATGATGTAGTTTAACTGTAGTTTGAGATGCTGTGGATCTTGATCTACTTGTATCCCGTCGTCGAGGAAGAACGCGACTCGTAGCCCTTGACGATGTAGATAGGTGACAATCGGTTTCGTTATCCTCGAATAACCATGGGGCTGATGCTATTCAATGGGGAGTACTTTCCACTGGTAATGTAACCCGTCTAGCGTAAACCGAAGGTATTTCCTGGATTCGGGATGTATCGGGATGTGCAGATAAGCATCTTGTAGATCTATACTGCCCATGTAGTCCATGGGGCGAATCATGTGCCGTAACTGCGGTAGATGTATCATCGCGGAACCTCGGTGGTCTCGCGAGATAAGTCTTGTTGAAGAAGCTCATGTTGTAAATGAGTCTGTATTTCTCCTTGGAGTTTTTCTTGGGTACTAGGAAAACTGGGGAGTAGAAACCTGGTTCGATGTTTCCTTGATCTATTACTTCTATGGCCTGCTTGGTTAGGAGTAATGTAACAGCCTCTCTTAACTTTAGTAGTTGCTGTGCCTGTACCTCGAACTTGTGAGGGTTGACTGTTAGTGGAGGCTTGGCCTGTAGTGGGATACTGAAATCCGCTTGAAGAATGTTGGAGACATAGGTGTCTTGAAGCATTCCCAGTTTTCCCAGTGTAGTTGGAGACGCCCACCCACTTGTGACGGTTGTACTGGAACGGCTGGGGTGGAAGACTCCAGTCGTTCCGAACCTGTCTTTCAGCGTTTATAGTTGCGGAACCTCTGGGTGTCCTGCCTCTTCCTGACCCTCCTCTATAGTTGCCATATGGGCTTAAAAAAAGAATCTCTTCCCCTGGAACTGGCTATCTTCCTGTCTCTTGCTCTTTGTAGGCCCGTGAATTTAGATCTCCCTGAGTATCTTTGTGAAGTCTGTCGAATGACACTGGCTAGCGTGTCCATCGATTTAATCATCAGGACTTCTCTGAATCCTTGGTGACTTCCTTTGGAGACTTTGTCTATTCCTCCGTCAAAGATGGATGGGGAAGACCACGGGCTGTATATAGTGGAGCTGTAAAGTTCTCACCCCAGTTGCAGGAAGCGAGGAGGCCTTGACGACGAAGCTAAGGTCAGTGCTGCTGAGACAGACGTGAGATGATCTGTTAAGAACTGCTGGTCCTTCTTTTGCATCAGTAGGTCCGAGTAAATCATTCTATCATCTTCAGAGGTCGGTGTTACTGAAATCTGGTGATAAGTGTCTCATTTATTGTTCTAGATCTATTTAGACCAAAGAACATAAAGCCTGGCCATGGTTTCTATCTGAACCAATTTTTCGATCATCAATCTTGTAGTACTTGTTCTTGGCATCGAGGAGATCAGCTTGTAGTTCTCATCGATGTCTTGGCGCTTTGAAGAAGGGGTCCATATTATCGTGGAGAACTTCTTGGCGTGAAAGTTTGGCAGATGTGGTGTCTGAACCTTCGTGGCTTTGTTAAATGCTGTATCTAGGTTCTGTGGTACCGCCCCATAATCGGTTCGATTGGGGGTAGTGTAATAGCATCTGCATCGTCTTCTTTCATCAGATAAGTCTGCGCCGAATTGCCACTCTTGGAAGGTGATGAGAGATCTAGATTATTGACCATCCAATATCTTATCTCTGCATCTGAGAAAATAATTCCTCCATCATCTTCCATTCCATCATCATAAATGAGAGGTTGTTGCTCTTCTGATGTAGGACTGTGTGGCTCTATCTCTATATCGTTTGACGCTTGTGGAGATCTAGTTGTAGGCTTATGTGCAGACCTGTGAGGTGATCGACGTGGTGATGTACGTGGAGATCGGCGTGGAGATCGGCGTGGTGATCGGCGAGGAGATCGTCTTGGTGATCTACATCGATATGTTGATCTTCTTGGCGACCTATGAGGGGACCGTATATAACAAGTTTTATGGATAACAACTTCTTTATTTTCGTGAGTG